GAGCAACTTCTCCCACGGGTCTGGCTCATCGTCCGGTTCGGCTGCTGCCAGCAGCAGCTCGTCGCCATTGGACTCGGTAAATCCACTGCCGGAAAGCACGGTGTGCAGGTGCACCTCAGGGGAGACGAGGACATTTGACTCGGGCTCCAGGGAGGTGTCGGCTGCGGAGAAGATTAATCGTCCAGTCTTCCATTCAAACTGGGGTTTCGTGAATGCGTGCCAGTCGAAGCCTAGCACCACATCGTGAGTTGTGGGGAATACGTAGCATTCCCAGTCGTGCAAAAGGAGTGTGTTGTTGACGGCGATGTCAACTTTGGTTTTTGTAGAGCAAGTCCGTTGTCGACCATCGATCATCCGGAATGCTCGGGGCGTGACCTCGTACGTCGGGAGTTCATGCTTCTCAACAAATCCAGGGGATACGATGGAAGTGAAACAACCAGTGTCGAGGAGCGTGACGGCGTCGAGGTAATCGTTGACCTGCAAGATCCACTCAAACGCGAGTTTGGTGGGATGACGAGGGATCACCACTCGGCCTTGCGAGTCCACGTATCCTTGTGGCGCGGAGAGCGCTGCCAGCGCGCCTTCGCTGATGTCTTTGGTCAAATCCCACAGTTCTGCCAACTTGAGAGTGGGAGCCTCTCGGTTGGCAGCTATTTTTCTGAAAACCGAGGACTACCGGAGTCCTCGTCTTCGTCGAGCTCGGCCTGAGACTCGTGGAACTCCTCGGGGTCTTCGGAGTCCAGTTTGTCTACCTCGAACTTGAGTAGGGCCATCATCTGGGCCGTTTCACGTGTCCGCTGCGGACACTCACGGGCCAGGTGGCCTGCTTTGCCACACTGCAGGCAAAGGTTTTCAGTGCGCCTGCGCCTGAACTCTTTGGGACTAATGCCCAAAGCTGCAGCACCTGCAGGGCGAGCCGGGGGGTTCGGCCGACGCGCTGCTGCAGCTGCGGGAGCTCGGGTGCCATATGGCACGAGTGCTCGCGGTGCCTTGCCACTAGGGGCGGGCTGACGTTGGCCACCGGGTGGTGGCAAGGAGGATCGCACCGCTCTTTCGATTGGTGCGCGGTTCCTCTGGTGCCGGGCGTGCTTGGAGCGCGCCTGCTCGACACGGACTGCCTCCTCGAGGTACCGCCTAAGCGGAAAGTTGTGCGCGTACGCCAACTCGGAGAACAGGCGGCTCGGGATGCCATCCTGGAAGTACTGCTTGAGCAGATACTCCTGGGTGACCCCAGAGAGCGCGGCATTTGTGAGGAACTGCA